AAAATAAATATTTTTTAAAAAAAAAAATTCTCTCTCTCTCTCCTCTCTCACTCTCTCTTAAAAAAAAAAAAAAAAAAAAAAAAAAAAAAAAAAAAGATCACCACCCCTTTCTCCCAGCACCTAGAGGCCTTTCTTTGGAAGCAGAGACATGGTAGCCTCCTGGCTGCCCGAAGCAGGCCCTGCTCCGCTTCCCTTCTGGCTACAGCCCTCAAGCCTCTGCTGGATGGGGAGTCTTCTACACTGGCTGCCAAGCACTGTGGGCTAACCAGCCAGGAAAAGCCTAACATGGACTCAGCAGGAAGCATATTATCTTTTCTGAGAGCTTTAGGAGGGCTTTGACTCTGTGCCCTTGCTCTCTGCTCTTCAACTTCAAAGCCTGATGCTCCCACCTCCTGAGGTGGCCTGGAGATATGTAGGTACCCACCCCTTCTTTTAGGTGAGCCTGTGGCAGGGAGCCCTCTCTGTTCAAGTACAGCAGAATCATTGCCCCCTTCATTTACTCAAACTTGTTGGTCTCTTTTCTGGGGAAAAAGAAAAGCCAAAAACCCATCCTTGTTTGCTGGCTTCTTGAGTCATCAGCTCCCAATCATTTGGGAACACCTGTGCTACAGAGTCTGCCTGGGGAACAAAAGAGAATTGTGGAGAATTAGCTCTTTTTTATTTATTTATTTACTTATTTTAGTTCTCGGCAGACACAACATGTTTGTTTGTATGTGGTGTTGAGGATCGAACCCGGGCCGCACGCATGCCAGGCGAGCGCGCTACCGCTTGAGCCACATCCCCAGCCTGAGAATTAGCTCTTGCTGGCCCCTTTGGCAGCACCTCTGAGCTGTTCTGTGCTGCTCTGTCACAGAGACCAGTGAGATCTGGTAAAGTAACCTTCCTCATCTACTGGGCAGCAGGTGCAGGCCTTGCCTGTCCAAGCAGGCCTGGGTTGTCTGGCTCAACTCCAGCAGGGGTTGCCTATATACATTTCTTGAGACACCCTATGGCTAATTTTGTTACAACTGCACAGTGGCTGCTGCCATTTTGTATTAAACATATTGTGAAACAAACCCATCTGCTCCTAAATGGTGTTTTGGAGGAAAAACAATCTACTGCTCCTGACTTCTTTCTGGATACAGCACATGTCCTTGGAGAATGGATGGCCCAAGTCCTATTCCTTCCCTCCAACCTGCTCCCAGTGATTTGGTTTTGTGTGTGTGCACGTGTGTGTTTGTTTTGTTTGTGATGCTAGGGATTGAACCCATGCAAGGCAAGTGCTCTACCACTAAGCTACTATCCCAACACTTCCGTGACTTTTTTTTTTTTTAAAGAAAGGAGGGACCCCAGAGTAGTAGGATCTTGGAACTGTACCTTATAAATTTCTGAAAATCATCCTTGAGGTATTTTGTTTTGGGGTTTGTTTGTTTGTTTTGTTTTTAAGATCAAGATAATTTAACTTTTTCAAGGTCAGAACTAGAGCTAAGATCCAGATTGCCAGCAACAACAATGGGAGTGTTCTGAGAATTCCAGCCTGGGGCCCTACTACACTACTCAGCATCCTGGATGGAACCTGGTCTGAGAGGAATAGGTCTATGTTATTCTACCCCCTCTAAGTTCCCAAAAGAGGAACTGATTTTCTTGGCCCCCAGCCTGGCAGCATCTGTCCCTGGTATTTGGTTCTAACCTCCAGAAAAGTGCTGCTTCCAGCCTGGGGCTTGAGAGTGGGTTTAGCAACCCCAGTCTAATCTTATCTTGAGGGGAAAATCCAGGGCTTGTGGCTGTCCCTTAACTTCTGTGTCCTGTATTGATGAATTTAGCTAAAATGGTTAATGGTCATATAAAAACAGGTAGCTATAATAACAAGCCTGAAGACATTCAAAATAGCAGAATGTCATGTGTATTCCAGTCAGTGTTGGGTAGAGCCCTGCCAAATTGAGTGAGTCCCCCAAATTAGAACCTTAATCCCAAAGTCACATGTCAATTGTATCTAGAGGTGGGACCCTCATTGGCATTAGTGGCCTTATAAGAGGGAGCCCCATACTAGCATACTTGATGTGTCATGTGAGAACCTCCATCATGTTTCAATGCAGCAAGAAGGCCCTCACCAGATGTCAGTGCCATGCTCTTGGATTTCTGACCTCCAGAACAGTGAGCTAGATAAAGCTCTCTAAATTACCCCATCAGTGGCATTCAGTTATAGCATCAGAAAACCAAGACAGAAAGAATGCAATTGTTCTCCTGATCCTTTATGCGAAACGAGGAATGTTTAAAAAAAAAAAAAAAAAAAAACAGCATAGCCTGATACAAAAATAGATCAGCGAGCACTTTGGTTCTGGTGGGACTTTCAGGTTCTCTTCACACACTGCGCAGCTCTACCTCATCGGTTAACAGGCACCTTTCCTTCCTGAGGCTGCCTCCAAGTGGATTCCAGTTTTAGGCCACCACACTATCAGCGCAGCACCTCCTCCACATTGCCTGTCCTGTGAGAGGTTAACAGGAGGTAACAGAATGTTTAAGTGTGATCTGGGCACACCCATTTCAGAATTTGGCAACCTGTAAACTAACAGCCCCCCTGCATCTCTCCCCAGACCTAGTCACATCTCTGGGAAGTAGCAAACTTTTATAGCAACTCATCAGGATTGGGGGTGCTTCCTTAGAGAACTGAGCCCTAATCCTTAGCCCCATAATCCAAGGATAATTACCCTTACGTATGTAACTCTCAATTTCGTTTCACATATTGGTTTCTATGGGTGCGGAAGACAAGGTTGCACAGCCACCCTAGCAAAAGGCCAGCAAGGTGAGTCGCCTGGGGGTGGTAGAACCGAGGGCCAGCTGGGGAGCCGGCCACGCCCAGACGCTAGAGACGCGGGGTGGAGCCAGAGCTGGTGTAAAGCCGAGGTGTCCTTGCTGGGCAGGGGCGCCGACGCAGGGCTTGCCTAGTTGAAGCTGAAATACAGGATACCAGTAGCAGTTGTTGGACTCGCAACCTAGGTCAGGTCCAGGGTCTTCCCTGTGTGCCCCTCCGCCGAGGCACCGGGCGCCACCAAGCGCTGCACTGGCTCGTCGGACCAGCTCGGATGCAGCGTAGAGCTCGCCTGACCCCTGCCGGCTGCACGCGGAGTCGCAGTTGCCCAGGGCCCGCGGCACTCCGCCCTTCACTACAGTGCCTTGGATGCACGGATTCCAGTCAGAAATTACACGACTCAGCGATCAACGATATTTTATTTTATTAAACGAGGACATTAAAGGGGAGATAAGTGGCTGTCCTCTAGCACCATTTTATACAAGAAGGGCCACATGTAACAAAAAGTAGAAAGAACATAAACTCAGAACAAAGGCCAGGGTTGTATTAAATTTTCGTATGTGCTTTCAAAATATTGTATGGTTTCAAAATATTGTAGTCTGAAAGGATTTTTTTTAAAGATTGTCTCCTTTCTCTCCCTACCACCCCCATTCCCATTCCTAGGACAAAATCACTTTGAGTCTTTAGGGAGTTTTTTTGGTAATTCATACCTCTAAGTGATAGGCTTATTGATTGATTGATTTAATTGGATATACTTGTAAGGATAGTTCTTTAAAGTTCTCACATTTGATTTTTGACACTCTCACTATATGGTCTTCTACCACCACCACCCCCACTTCCGGGGAGCAGCCCTGTTGACTGGCAAGCATTTGGAAGCCCTGGGATCAGGTGGTACAGAGCCCTGACCATATTCTTGGCTGGCCCCTGCTCCTGCCGAGACCCCAGAGCCACACTAGTGCAAGGTGGGACCTTTCACCTTCCATGCTCCACCTGGTTATTCTATCAAGAAGCCATTTTGAAATTTGGCCTCTCCTGCATTCATCTCTCTCCTCTGCTGACAGAAGCTAGCCTGATATCTCTTAAATATTGCTTGGATCCACAACAATCTGCCAACTTGCCTGCCTACTTTTAGTCTACACCCTCAATCTAGTTCTATACTGAGCCAGTGGGGTCTATCAAGCTCACCCATATATCCTTCAGCAGCTCCCAGTACCTTTAAAAGCTAAGATTTTAAGCTGGGCATAGTGACACATGCCTGTAATCCTAGGTACTCAAGAAACTGAGGGGGGAGAATTGCTTGAGACCAAGAGTTCAAGGCCAGCTTGGGCAATACAGCAAGACCCAGTCTCTTAAAAAAAAAAAAAAAAAAGCCTAAGGTTTTGCAAGGCAAATATGGCCCTGACCACCCCCTCCTGTTAACTTCCCTCCCTCCCTACTGAGTGCCTGTGTTCTTGTTGAAAGTTCTCCTTGCCATATTTTCTTAGCTTGTGCCCTAACTGATCCTTCTACCAAGAAATCCTTTCTGCTCTTTCCTATGCTCTTGCTTTCTTGTCGCTAAAGCCTCAATCCAGGGCCTGCCTCCTCCAGGAAGACCTCTGTTCCCCAGCCTTTCCCCAATCCTGTCCCCACCTCACCCATCCCCCTCAGCATATCTGCATCATTGAGCTTGCCATGCAGTTGTACTTATTTTATGTGTGTCTGTTTCCCCTGCATTAGGCTATGAACTTGGGGAACGGGTCTGATTTCACCATCCAGTACAGTTCTTGGCATATAATAGATGCTCAAATGTTTATTGAAAGAGTAGATAGGTAGTCATGTAACAATTAGCTCACATTTTGCTGGTACCATAGTTACTTGGGTGTGTGGTCACCTCTAGTGTATTTAGGATTTTTGAGGTCAAAGACCATCTCCCACTTCTCCGAATCCTTCAACAGCACCCAGTGCTTTCAGTGAGTACTCAGTTGCTATGTTCATGCTGAATGAGTGAAACAACAGGTGGGCCAGAGCCCTGGCCTAATCCCAGAGTTGGCACAAACAGCAGGGCCAGCCGGCTTTGCCTGGCGGTGCTCTCCTCAGGCCTTCCCACCCTGGAGTAGTTAGGGCCCAGCTGCAGAAGAGAGGCCCTCACCCCCCATATCCTCTGACCCACTCAGAAACTGAAGAAAGGAGCTGTTATAAGGT